AGTTCTCTTGACAACCGTTTACATTATCTAATTGCCTACTTTGTAGAGAAGCTGCACGGAGAGCAAGTCTCTAATTGTCTATTTTTTTCAATATTTTCATTTTAAAAAAGCCTTCTCATCTCTTCATAACACACTTTTACACGACTTGAAGGAGAGCCAACCAATAGTAAACCAAGAGCCTGCTTAAAGCTCAACTTTGCTTCATCAAGAACTGCTTTTACCCCAATTCACTTAAGCCTTGCTTCCAAAAAATTATTTCCATCCTCGACGGACTGCAGAAAATGTCTTTTTTGCAAGCCAATTACTCCCAGTCATAAAGCCAAAAAATGTTTGAGGCATACAGACAAAAAACCGGAGAGGATATTACGGCACTCACACAAACGAATCTATAGTGATTGAAGCCATTAGTATGGGTATATAATTCACACACACACATAGAAAAAACATGTTATATTTTGTCATATCTACCTCCTGGTTCATATTTAACAATTCATACATGAATTATGAAGACCAAGATGTTGTGGCCTCCTGTAGAGTCGCAGTCTCCTTTCGAATTATAGAATTGGGTTGACCCCGTCGCAACTTGGTCTTGTCGTCAGGGCGACTAAGTATAACGCATCTAGTCCGAAGTCGTTTGCCAAAGTAGTTGTCATGACTCCCAGCATCTGACAGTGGACTTGATACATTCACAAACGTTTCGCCGGTCGGGGTAAATAGCAAGTGTGATGAGGCCACACTCGGTTTGCCACAAAAGGGCACACATTTTGACGATTGGAATGTGAACAAGCGAGAAGTTGTGATAGGGCGGCAGTGGGAGAAGAGGGTAAAGAGTAGATAGATAGGCCAGGACAGAAAGAGGAGTGACAATGTAACGGTTTTCGACAGAACGGTTGTCGAGGCATTGACTTCACTTGTCTCTTTGACGAGTTCGTTGCGGAGACTGGCAAAACTGACTGTTGATGTCGGCGAAACGTTTGAGAATGTACCAAATCCACTGTCTGATGCTGGAAATCATGACAACTAATATGGCAGACGAGTTTGGACTAGGTGCGTTCTACCAATTCACCTTGACAACAAGACCAAGTTGCGACAACAAGGTCAATCAATCTCAAATTAAAAACGAAAAATATATCATCAATCACTGCCCGTCATGCCTTTGTAAAGTTGGTTATGTATATTCTTGGTTTTAACAGCTTGCAACTTTTGTTAACTTTGTACAAGTCTACAAGAAGACAAATTATTAACTTAAATGCGACATTAAGAATAACATTTTGCTCTGACGTCCGTCAGCTTAGCCGATATTCACCCAAAGCGCCAACCTGATTCCTCAGTCAACAACTCGAAAGGGAACATTTAAAAAATCCGTTTTTGGCCACCCGTTACGTCGTTTTGACGCTTGTGATACCTTTTCTCTTTCACGCTTCATCTCCACGTTTCCACGACCCATTTCCATCCATTTATCAGGCGCTGAGCGACATGATCGGCTTCGGCAGCATGGTCCTCGCCTCCGGGGCCACCGTGTTGTCGGGCTTCATCGGCGATCGCATCGGTCGTTGCCTGCCCGGCCGGTGTCTTTTAATTGTGATCAGTTTCGCTTCCGCCTGGAACACCTTGATCGTATTCGGTTGGCTCTGGTCGGACAGGGCCAGTCTTTTCATTAGCCAAATGCTGCTTGCGATAGGAGTCTTCGGTGGTGCTCCTCTCTGGTGAGCACGGCGGTCACCTTTTCACCCGTTCGGCTAGCAAATCAGCCGCATTTTCGCAACTTGATGCATTCCCAAATGTGCCGCTGGCATGGTTAGGAAAGACTGCAAACACATAATGTTTGAGACTATCGATTATGCTTAGCTGAGAGCATAGTAGAAATAGATCGCATCAGACGATTTAAGGATTGATATTTGAGTTTTCCTGCTCACCTCATAACATTTTACGGAGCTACTTATTATGGATATGAGTAGTTTCCGATGCAATTGTCTATATTCGAATAAGTGATTTTTAAGCCTAGGTCGTTTGGCAAGTTTAACGGCTGACATCTCAGTTTCCTCACCTTTAGAATACTCGTTTTCACTTAGCCCTTCATCCTTGTAGTGAACTTACCAAATTATAACCACCTCCAACGGGTTTCGAACCCGCACATTTTTTCATATTGGGATAGCAAGCATGTGTTTTCCACTGCAATCGACGTCTAATTGTGGGAAAATTTACCTTTTAGACTCCAAATAACCTTTAGCAAGTCGGGCTAATAAATTTATATTGTTGGGGGAACATTGATGAGGAGACTCATCGAAACCAAGTTTCTCTTCGTATCTACGATGAATTTATATTGAAAAATTACCAATGGTCACGCACACTACTTACATCACAAAATAAGTAACGTCTTTGATTGTAACTAAATTCAACATGTTTGCCTAATTTAAAATCCCAGTTCCATATCATCCTCCAGAGTCGTCATGGCCGGATTACGTAACATT